AGTCCAAATCTTTTAAAAAGATAGCATGAAGGTAAATTTTCAGTTTTTTGAGTATTTGTTGGCAACACTAGTAAAATAAGTTTTAAATTCTATGAAATAATTGTTCTTAAACAAAAAGCTAACATTATTAGGTATAATATTCTAAAAATCTGTTAAAATTATCTTACATTTCTTTAGAACATCATTAAAATTTACATTTTTCATTATTATTTCATATTAAAATTTACTTAAACATTGGTAGCCCTGGTAAAATAAATATTAAATTCTACAAAAATTCTCAAAACATAATGAACATCTTATAAATTAACTTACATTTGCTTGAAACATCATTAAATTTACATGTGTACAGGTGTTTGTTTGTTTTTTTTTTCATTTACTTAGCCGATGACGTCACACACAAAAATGAATGCAATTTTGTTCAACTGCGAAAAGCGACTGTTTTCGTTTTCTTATTACTCGGCTTACAGAATGTCAACAAACACAACAAGGGGTGTTTTGCAAATTTTTTTAAAATGATTTCCATAGCATACTTTAGGGATGTGAAAAGTATTTGAGTTGCCCTGTGCAGTATTTTGGCAACAGGCTGTTTCAGATACTTTTCACATCCCTAAAGTATGCTGTGGAAATTATTTTAAAAAATTTGCAAAACACCCCTTGTTGTGTTTGTTGACATTCTGTAAGCCGAGTAATAAGAAAACGAAAACAGTCGATTTTCGCAGTTGGACAAAATTGCATTCATTTTTGTGTGTGACGTCATCGGCTAAGTAAATGAAATCAAAACAAACAAACACCTGTACACATGTAAATTTAATGATGTTTAAAGCAAATATATGATAATTTTTAAGATGTTTATTATGTTTTGAGAATTTTTGTAGAATTTAATATTTATTTTACCAGGGTTACCAACATTTAAGTAAATTTTTAGAAGAAATGGAAAGCGATGGAATTCTTTTAATAAACACGTAGTCGGTTATGAACTTTTCAGACATTTTTGAAGAGTGTTTAGAAAGTAACATTTAATACTTATAATTCCAGGGTTGCCAGTTTAAGGATTTATAAAACTAGTAATAAAACACCAAGCTGTTTTATATGGGGTATTTTTAAATATTTATTTTATTATTTTTTGTTTTTGTTTTATTGCAATACTTTTGCTTTCCAATTAAATTGTGTTTTTCATTAAATTATTATATTTTTAAACAATATTTGTTTTGTTTTTTCTAATAAATTAATATGCCATAAATTTATGTTTTATACATTTTTTAAAAATTAATTATTTAAAAAAAATTACTCTTTACTTTTTCTTGAATAAATTACCCTACCTTTAGCTTATTTTTTTATAATTTCATTTATAAATTATAGATTTTATTAATCAAGTATTAAAATTTATAATAAAACTGAGATTTTCTTTTTCTAGTATTTAGTTAAATTCTTTGTTTTTTGAAAAATTTTGTTTTATAAAGTTTGTTTTTCAGTATTTTTTTGTCTTTAAGAATTTTAGCTTTTATATTTACGTATTTTAAGTAAATTTATTATATATTTTTTTAAGGGTTTTATAATTATTTAAAGGATTTTGTTTTTTAAATTTTAATTCAATTTTAAGCGTGTTTCAAGGTGTTTTAATCTTTTGTTTTATATTTATTTTCTGGTGATTGTTTTTGGAAAAAGCTAATTTGTTTTGGATTTTTTTTTAATAATTTATTACTTTTTTTGTTGTTTTTGTATACATTTTTGTTTAGATTTGCAAACAATGGCCAGCTTTTTAGTTTTGAAGAAAATCCAAACTAAAACTTTAGAACTGATGTAGAACGGAACTAGAACAGAACTAGAACAGAAATAGAACAGAACTAGAACTAGAACAGAACTAGAACAGAACTAGAACAGAACTAGAACAGAGCTAGAACAGAACTAGAACAGAACTAGAACAGAACTAGAACAGAACTAGAACAGAACTAGAACAGAACTGGAACAGAACTAGAACAGAACTAGAACAGAACTAGAACAGAACTAGAACAGAACTAGAACAGAACTAGAACTTGAACAGAACTAGAACAGAACTAGAACAGAACTAGAACAGAGCTAGAACAGAACTAGAACAGAACTAGAACAGAACTAGAACAGAACTAGAACAGAACTAGAACAGAACTAGAACAGAACTGGAACAGAACTAGAACAGAACTAGAACAGAACTAGAACAGAACTAGAATAGAACTAGAACAGAACTAGAACAGAACTAGAACAGAACTAGAACAGAACTAGAACAGAACTAGAACAGAACTAGAACAGAACTAGAACAGTACTAGAACAGAACTAGAACAGAACTAGAACAGAACTAGAACAGAACTAGAACAGAACTAGAACAGAACTAGAACAGAACTAGAACAGAACTAGAACAGAACTAGAACAGAACTAGAATAGAACTAGAACAGAACTAGAACAGAACTAGAACAGAACTAGAACAGAACTAGAACAGAACTAGAACAGAACTAGAACAGAACTAGAACAGAACTAGATCAGAACTGAACAAAACTAGAACAAAACTAGAACAGAACTAGAACAGAACTAGAACTGAACTAGAACTGAACTAGAACAGAACTAGAACAGAAATAAAACAGAAATAAACAGAACTAGAACAGAACAAGAACAGAACTAGAACTGAACTAGAACTGAACTAGAACTGAACTAAAACTGAACTAGAACTGAACTAGAACTGAACTAGAACTAAACTAGAACTGAACTAGAACTGAACTAGAACTGAACTAGAACTGAACTAGAACTGAACTAGAACTGAACTAGAACTGAACTAGAACTGAACTAGAACTAAACTAGAACTGAACTAGAACTGAACTAGAACTGAACTAAAACAGAACTAGAACTGAACCAGAACTGAACTAGAACTGAACTAGAACTGAACTAGAACTGAACTAGAACTGAACTAGAACTGAACTAGAACTGAACTAGAACTGAACTAGAACTGAACTAGAACTGAACTAGAACTGAACTAATGAAACTGAACTAGAACTGAACTAGAACTGAAACTAGAACTGAACTAGAACTGAACTAGAACTGAACTAGAACTGAACTAGAACTGAACTAGAACTGAACTAGAACTGAACTAGAACTGAACTAGAACTGAACTAGAACTGAACTAGAACTGAACTGAACTGAACTAGAACTGAACTAGAACTGAACTAGAACTGAACTAGAACTGTAACTATAACTGAACTAGAACTGACTAGAACTGAACTAGAACTGAACTAGAACTGAACTAGAACTGAACTAGAACTGAACTAGAACTGAACTAGACTGAATCTAGAACTGAACTAGAACTGAACTAGAACTGAACTAGAACTGACGAGAACTGAACTAACTGACTAGAACTGAAGCTAGAACTGAACTAGAACTGAACTAGAACTGAACTAGACTGAACTAGACTAACTAGAACTGAACTAGAACTGAACTAGATCTGAACTAGAACTGAACTAGAACTGAACTACAACTGAACTAGAACTGAACTAGACTGAACTAGAACTGAACTAGAACTGAACTAGAACTGAACTAGAATAGAACTAGAACTGAACTAGAACTGAATTAGAACCGAAGTAGAACTGAACTAAAACTGAACTAGAACTGACATAGAACTGAACTAGAACAGAACTAGAAACTGAACTAGAGCTGAACTAGAACTGAACTAGAACTGAACTAGAACTGAACTAGAACTGAACTAGAACTGAACTAGAACTGAACTAGAACTGAACTAGAACTGAACTAGAACTGAACTAGAACTGAACTAGAACTGAACTAGAACTGAACTAGAACTGAACTAGAACTGAACTAGAACTGAACTAGAACTGAACTAGAACTGAACTAGAACTGAACTAGAACTGAACTAGAACTGAACTAGAACTGAACTAGAACTGAACTAGAACTGAACTAGAACTGAACTAGAACTGAACTAGAACTGAACTGAACTAAACTGAACTAGAACTGAACTAGAACTGAACTAGAACTGAACTAGAACTGAACTAGAACTGAACTAGAACTGAACTAGAACTGAACTAGAAACTGAACTAGAACTGAACTAGAACTGAACTAGAACTGAACTAGAACTGAACTAGAACTGAACTAGAACTGAACTAGAATAGAACTAGAACTGAACTAGAACTGAATTAGAACCGAAGTAGAACTGAACTAAAACTGAACTACTGACATACTGAACTAGAACAGAACTAGAACTGAACTAGAGCTGAACTAGAACTGAACTAGAACTGAACTAGAACTGAACTAGAACTGAACTAGAACTGAACTAGAACTGAACTAGAACTGAACTAGAACTGAACTAACTAGAACTGAACTAGAACTGAACTAGAACTGAACTAGAACTGAACTAGAACTGAACTAGAACTGAACTAGAACTGAACTAGAACTGAACTAGAACTGAACTAGAACTGAACTAGAACTGAACTAGAACTGAACTAGAACTGAAACTGAACTAAACTGAACTAGAACTGAACTAGAACTGAACTAGAACTGAACTCGAACTGAACTAATAACTGAACTAGAACTTAACTAGAACTGAACTAGAACGAACTGGAACTAGAAACTGAAAACTAGAACCTAACTAGACGAACTAGAACTGAACTAGAACTGAACTAGAACTGAACTATAACTGAACTAGATGAACTAGATTGAACTAGAACCTAAACTAGAACTGAACTGAACTAGCACATGAACTAGATAAATATGAATACTGAATGAACTAATGAATGAATAGACTTCTGAAATAGAATATTTGAAAGACTAACTAGCCTAAAAGACTGAACTAGAATACGTTGACTAGCACAAACTAGAAAATTACCACAAATGAATTCAATATTTGAAAGCTAGAGGAACGATTTTAACCCAAAAAATTAGATTTTTTATATTTTAAATAAAGAATAGAATTACAAATGAATTAACAATTTAAGAAATAAAAACGAGATTCAGGGATATTTTGTAAAATAGCTTTTTTGCATTTTTAATAAAAATAATAATAAAACTTAATAAATAATTGTCTTAAATATAATGATAATAATAATAAAAAATAATAGTTATATACATTACACACACATACACAATAAAAGTTATACAAACATATAATATATAATTTTCAATTAAAAACAATTATATAAACTAGGTTTTAATTTTTGTTTCTTTCACTAATTGTTAAAATTAAATAATAAACAAAATAGAGGAGATTAACTAATTAAAAAAAAAAAACAGAAGAAAACAATTAACAGGGAATCAATTATAAAAGCCAGATAGATTGCTAAGAAAATTTAATACAATAGATTTTACAAACTGATTTAAAAGTATTTGGGTTGAAAGGTTTTAAAAAAAGTAAAAAAAAAACTTTAACAAAACTTAAAAACAAAAAGGAAAAAATATACAAAAATTAAAAAAAAAAACTCAACAATTTAATATTAATAGATAAATGTAATAAAAAGGAAGCGAAAAAAGAAATTTTACAGCAAGCTAAAGAAAAGTTTTAAAATTAATTAACAGCCCAAATTTGACACCCGTTAACAAAATTGAAATTTTTACAAAAGCGTTAAATTTGTAAAAATTTAAATTACAAAATTTATGAGGTTTAATGTTCTTAGATTTTTGTTTAAAAATGTAGGCCTTTAAAAACTTTTAAAATTAAAATTTAAAACTAAATTATAACGGTTTGTTTGTTTTGTTTTGTTTATGTTTTTTTTAGAAAAAGCTAAGCGTGTTTTTGTTTGTTTTATGGTTTAAATATTAAAAAAAAAAACTACTTGTCTCCTAGTTACTAGATGTATATATCGAAAAATATCTCTAGATTTTAGAAAAAAGATGCTTAAATTATTAATTTATTTATATCACCCCGGAAACAGTTTTTTCATAAGGTGTACCCAAAGTATCTCTACGTCTAGGCAAAGTACCACTTGCGGTAAGAGGCGCCGATTCGGGACAACCCAAACCCGTCAAAAGTTCCACTAAAGCAGTAGTTTCCTCTACACTGTAATGTGGTGCTGGTATACCACCATTGCTGGTGGAGCTATTGGCAGCCGTACTGCTGCTACTGTTAGCTGAGTGAGAATTTGTTGAGGTGGTTGTGGCATTCGATACCGAAGATGATGACGATGAAGTATTGCTAGCCATACTGGAATTTGTATTACTGGTACTGCTGGCATTTTGCGTAGCAGCAGCTGCTGCTGCAGCGGCTTTCAAAGATTTGGCGGTGGCTAAAGATTGAGCCGCCCGAGCATAAGCCAAACAAGTGCGTCCCTCATGATCGGTATGTTTAATGTTGGCACCATTCTGTAATGGAATTTTTTTGGAATAAGTTAAATCTGTTTAGTTTATCTGTTACGAGTTAATGGAAACTTACCCATATTAATAGTTGAGCTATGGCTAAATTGCCAATGGCACAGGCCAATAGTAGGGGAGTCCTAACATCTCTAGGACTAACATTGGCATTGGTAACTTCAGCATTGGCATTGGCCAAGATTAAAACAATCGATTTCATATCAGATCTAAAACAAGATAAAAGAAAGTGAGAAATTAATATTGTTATAGAATTAGAAATGAACTGGAACTAGAACAGAACTAGAACAGAACTAGAAAAGAACTAGAAAAGAACTAGAACAGAACTAGAAAAGAACTAGAACAGAACTAGAACAGAACTAGAACGGAACTAGAACAGAACTAGAACAGAACTAGAACAGAACTAGAACAGAACTAGAACAGAACTAGAACAGAACTATAACAGAACTAGAACAGAACTAGAACAGAAATAGAACTGAACTAGAAGAGAACTAGAACAGAACTAGAACAGAACTAGAATAGAACTAGAACAGAACTAGAACAGAACTAGAACTGAACTAGAACTGAACTAGAACAGAACTAGAACAGAACTAGAACAGAACTAGAACAGAACTAGAACAGAACTAGAACAGAACTAGAACAGAACTAGAACAGAACTAGAACAGAACTAGAACAGAACTAGAACAGAACTAGAACAGAACTAGAACAGAACTAGAACAGAACTAGAACAGAACTAGAACTGAACTAGAACTGAACTAGAACTGAACGAGAACTGAACTAGAACTGAACTAGAACTGAACTAGAACTGAACTAGAACTGGACTAGAACTGAACTAGAACTGAACTAGAACTGAACTAGAACAGAACTAGAACAGAACTAGAACAGAACTAGAACAGAACTAGAACAGAACTAGAACAGAACAAGAACAGAACTAGAACAGAACTAGAACAGAACTAGAACAGAACTAGAACAGAACTAGAACAGAACTAGAACAGAACTAGAACAGAACTAGAACAGAACTAGAACAGAACTTGAACAGAACTGGAACAGAACTAGAACAGAACTAGAACAGAACTAGAACAGAACTAGAACAGAACTAGAACAGAACTAGAACAGAACTAGAACAGAACTAGAACAGAACTAGAACAGAACTAGAACAGAACTAGAACAGAACTAGAACAGAACTAGAACAGAACTAGAACAGAACTAGAACAGAACTAGAACAGAACTAGAACAGAACTAGAACAGAACTAGAACTAGAACAGAACTAGAACAGAACTAGAACAGAACTAGAACAGAACTAGAACAGAACTAGAACAGAACTAGAACAGAACTAGAACAGAACTAGAACAGAACTAGAACAGAACTAGAACAGAACTAGAACAGAATTAGAACAGAACTAGAACTGACCGAGAACTAAACTAAAACTGAACTAGAACTGAACCAGAACTGAACTAGAACTGAACTAGAACTGAACTAGAACTGAACTAGAACAGAACTAGAACAGAACTAAAACAGAACTAGAACAGAACTAGAACAGAAATAGAACTAGAACTGATTTAGATCTGAACTAAAACTGAAATAGAACTGATTTAAAACTTTCAATCTTAAGTTTAGTTAAAGAAATTTGTAGTAAACCTACCTAATCACAGCTTCGATTAATTGCTGACCGGGTGTAGCATTTGTATTCGTATTCTGTTGAGGTAAAAATTCTTTGGCCTCATATTTACTTCTAATCCAGCACTCTTTCTCTTCCCTAGATGAATTTGGTTTGGGTTTCGAACGCTGGCGGGTATTTGCTTCCCAAACAGAATTAGCCAAACTATTGCCAATGGCCAGCATAACACTTAAATGACCGGCTCTAAAAGAAAACCAAAGGAAAAGTTAGAAAATAAAACTCTGGACCTATTAACTTTTATCAAAATACTTACGGCCAATCATCCAGACCCAAAGAGCGTACTTTAGAGATATGAGAACCTAAATTACGATGAATACCCGAGCATTCAATACACATTAAGACACCCAAATTTAAACTGGCCCATTCGGGATCTGTAAATAAAAACACAAACAATATTAAAGAAAAATTCTATTACATTTTACAACAACTACAATAAAACCACAAGAAAATCATAAGAAAAGAAATAAAAAAAAAATTGTAACCCAACATTTTTACTCACTTGGTGCATCACAATCGACACAATAGCCATTACCCGGTACGCGAGTACGTATCGTCACCATCGAGGCCAATTCACTAGTGGTGGCCGGTTTCATTTTAGTACTTTCTATGGTTTGAAGACTCTTGAATATCTCCTGTTCTATGGCGGCCACCCATTCATCACGCTCTTCCGAATTGGCTGCCTCAAAGTGCCATTGTTTGGAGTCCAAAGAGACAATATAGAATTCATAACCATCCGAATCATCAATTTCATTGGATTTAACACTACTGCTCTTCATGCGTCTATGACGTTTCTTAACATTAGGGGTTTGGGCCTCCAATTTATTGGAAGCATTAACAGCTAAAAGTTCACGTTGTGAGTTCTCCCCGGCGCCCGCTATAAAGGTTTGAGAGTTAGAATTGGACATGGCTATGCCTTCGTCACCGCTGGTTTGTTGGGATGAATTCGATTTGACTGCCGACTCTTTAAGGGGTTCGAAAGCTGTTGAGAAAAATAAACATAAATTATATTTTTTTTTTAAATTTAAAGTTTTTAACAAAACTTACCATTATTGGTGGACAACATGGAAGTGGTCAAAGCACTATTTGTTATTATGGACTTGGAACCTCTGGGCTTCTGGCCCGGCACCTTTACAGTAACATATTGCAAAGGTATTTCCTTGCCATGCACATCATCCATATAGTCATGTAGTGAAGGATGATAGGTCAGTCTACCATCATCACACAAAGTAACATATTTCTTTTTCCATTCCTTATTCAAAGATTTACTAGATCTTTTGTACAAATAACCCTGTTTAATGGGTATCGAGCGTCCACTACCCACTTCACCATTTTTCATTTCTTTTTCACCCTTTTTCGAGGAGGAGGGTATAAAGAGATTCGATCTTCTGCGTGATTTTCTACTGGCCGTAGGCGTTGAAGTGGGTGTGGGCAAATCCTTACCACTCACTGCCAAATTCGAGTCTTTTTCTCTTAAAGGCACCAACGACAGGGGAGCCAATTGCTCGGAGGCCGAACTATTTTGTGAATTCGTACCCTGGGGATTATATTTGGTTATATTGTTATTTTCATTGGTCATATTATAGCATTCACGTTCCCGTTCGCGATTATGATGAGATCTCAATTGTACATGTTGGGTTTCTTGTGGCTGTTGTGCCTGCCATAACTTTTGAGCATTACCGCCTGCTGTGGACGGCAGACTGTGCTGTTGTTCTTGATGCACAAAATCTGCACTCATGCGCATGGGTATATGGTGAGTTGAACTCGAGAGTACATGATGTCTATGGGGTAGGGTGAGATTACCAGCGGCAGCTCCGGCTCCCGTTTGCATGGAATTGGAGGAAGAGTTTGAAGAAGCAAAACCATTGGTATTGCTGCCATTTTGTGAGTTATGATGATAGGAGGCTATACCCAAACGTGTGCCCTGGGGTGTAGTGGGTCGGGAGGTAACATTTGCGGGTAGGGGTAGACGTTGTGAGAGAATTTTTTGACAAGCTGTTAAGAGAAAGAGAGAGGAAAAGAGAGGTGAGATTAGAGTGTAAATCAGTTGTACATTATAAGAGAATTTGGAACAGAACTTGAACAGAACTAGAACTGAACTAGAACAGTACTTGAACAGAACTAGAACAGAACTAGAACTGAACTAGAACAGAACTAGAACAGAACTAGAACAGAAATAGAACTGAACTAGAACAGAACTAGAACAGAACTAGAACAGAACTAGAACAGAACTAGAACAGAACTAGAACAGAACTAGAACAGAACTAGAACAGAACTAGAACAGAACTAGAACAGAACTAGAACAGAACTAGAACAGAACTAGAACAGAACTAGAACTAGAACTAGAACAGAACTAGAACAGAACTAGAACAGAACTAGAACAGAACTAGAACAGAACTAGAACAGAACTAGAACAGAACTAGAACAGAACTAGAACAGAACTAGAACAGAACTAGAACAGAACTAGAACAGAACTAGAACAGAACTAGAACAGAACTAGAACAGAACTAGAACAGAACTAGAACAGAACTAGAACAGAACTAGAACAGAACTAGAACAGAACTAGAACAGAACTAGAACAGAACTAGAACAGAACTAGAACAGAACTAGAACAGAACTAGAACAGAACTAGAACAGAACTAGAACAGAACTAGAACAGAACTAGAACAGAACTAGAACAGAACTAGAACAGAACTAGACAGAACTAGAACAGAACTAGAACAGAACTAGAACAGAACTAGAACATGACCTAGAACTGAACTAGAAACTGAACTAGAACTGAACCTAGAACTGAACTAGAAACTGAACTAGAACTGAACTAGAACTGAACTAGAACTGAACTAGAACTGAACTAGAACTGAACTAGAACTGAACTAGAACTGAACTAGAACTGAACTAGAACTGAACTAGAACTGAACTAGAACTGACTAGAACTGAACTAGAACTGAACTAGAACTGAACTAGAACTGAACTAGAACTGAACTAGAACTGAACTAGAACTGAACTAGAACTGAACTAGAACTGAACTAGAACTGAACTAGAACTGAACTAGAACTGAACTAGAACTGAACTAGAACTGAACTAGAACTGAACTAGAACTGAACTAGAACTGAACTAGAACTGAACTAGAACTGAACTAGAACTGAACTAGAACTGAACTAGAACTGAACTAGAACTGAACTGAAACTGAACTAGAACTGAACTAGAACTGAACTAGAACTGAACTAGAACTGAACTAGAACTGAACTAGAACTGAACTAGAACTGAACTAGAACTGAACTAGAACTGAACTAGAACTGAACTAGAACTGAACTAGAACTGAACTAGAACTGAACTAGAACTGAACTAGAACTGAACTAGAAACTGAACTAGAACTGAACTAGAACTGAACTAGAACTGAACTAGAACTGAACTAGAACTGAACTAGAACTGAACTAGAACTGAACTAGAACTGAACTAGAACTGAACTAGAACTGAACTAGAACTGAACTAGAACTGAACTAGAATTGAACTAGAACTGAACTAGAACTGAACTAGAACTGAACTAGAACTGAACTAGAACTGAACTAGAACTGAACTAGAACTGAACTAGAATTGAACTAGAACTGAAGTAGAACTGAACTAGAACTGAACTAGAACTGAACTAGAACTGAACTGGAACAGAACTAGAACAGAACTAGATCGAAACTAGAACTGAACTAGAACTGAACTAGAACTGAACTAGAACTGAACTAGAACTGAACTAGAACTGAACTAGAACTGAACTAGAACTGAACTAGAACTGAACTAGAACTGAACTAGAACTGAACTAGAACTGAACTAGAACTGAACTAGAACTGAACTAGAACTGAACTAGAACTGAATTAGAACTGAACTAGAACTAAACTAGAACTGAACTAGAACTGACCGAGAACTGAACTAGAACTGAACTAGAACCGAATTCGACCAAGAACTGAATATTTGGAAAATGAAAGCTTACCATCCTGAAAAACTCTTTCCACATTCAAACCATAAGTGGCACAAGTCTCATAATATGAACATCTCTTCAAATCATTGGCCAATTTGCGAGCACGCGAATCATCTATAACACGGGGATTACGTTCACTAATGGCATCTTGAGTGCCCACCAAAATCATGGGTATCTCCTGGCCGTTACGAAAATGAGCCATTTTTGTATAATAATTGTAGACTGTATTAAAACTGGATTCGTTTTCTAAACTAAAAACGAAAATAACAGCATCAACCCAAGCAGCAAACTGTAATGAGAGAAAAGGAAGAAAAAGGAAGAAAAAAATATTAAAATCTTATTTTATAAATTTAATGAACAAAAACTGCCAGATATAATAGTATATGAAAGCCCTTGACTTTGCGCCTCAACAACTCAACTCAAATACTTGACTTAAGGTTAAGGTTTCTTTAAGTTTGTGTATGTATGTATATATTGTAATGCTACTCTACAGATCCTTTAGAAGCAAAAGTAAACAAAAGGTGTTGTTAAACAAACAAAAACCTAGAAGGTGTTTCAAAAGGGGTTTCATATTTCTTTTATTCCCATAATAAGAAAAAAAAGAAGAGTTAAAAACCATTAAAAAAAATCAATTGATTTCTTAACATTTTCTGGGTTTCGTTTTTAGTTTTGTTTTAATTAATGACGTTTGAATACAAAATACCGGAACTCTTTTCATTAACCACTAAACAATTGTTATAAAAGCTAATGAAGCATACTTTTAGGCTACACATAATGCAAAATATTAAGCTAAACTTGCATGTTGTTGTTGCCACCAATAACCCTAAAGGATATTGAACTTTTTAAAGAAATTTATAATAGAAAAAAAAAACAATTTAAAAAAAATTACACTGTGAAAAAAAATGTCATAAATTTTGTATAATAGCAACAAACAGTTATAATTTAGACATGCAATTTGTTGCATACTGCGCAGGTTTTGTTGAAAAGAAAAAAAAAAAGGAAATTATTAAAGTATAAGTTAAGGAGGAGGAAGGGTTGGTAGGCAAATGGTAAAAAGCAGAGTTTTCTTTTTTTAAACAAAAATTTTGAAAATTTACCTTTTTTAACAAAAATTTTAATAAATATTTTTATTATATTTTTTAAACAAAAGCTGTTTTTTAATATAACTACTGAAACCTTTCTTTTTGTTAGAAAAAAAAACACTTTCAACTTCCGCGAACGAACTCAACGACTCTACGATTCTCGACAAACTGTAAGGGTAATCAGTTGAAACAAGACCCCCCGCCTTTGAAGTTATACACAGACCGGGTTTTTTTTATATGTTTATAAAGAGAGAGCAAGTAGTACGTGTTAGTGTATATGTGTGTGTGATATCCTACAGGATAACCTAGTGGGTGGTTTGAGGCTAAAGTTGTTAGAGTTTGTGTTAGTCTATGGCGGCATATAAGTAATAAAAATCACATATACCATAACATAAGCAAATAAAAACATGAAACGAATAGACCACAAAAGCGTTAAGCTGACACAGTATGTTGGACAAAGACACAATCGAAACGTTAAGCGTTTAATAGTAAGAAATTAGAAAATATCTAGTGAATTTGTAATTTTTAAAATTTATTTTCAACTTAACGTAAATTTTTTAAATACTTAGGGTGCTCCTTTAACAAAAAAGTTTATTTGTTAAGAAAGCTTTAATATTTCTCTAATTTTGATTTTTGTTAAATTTTCAAAAATTTTAAGTTTTAAATTTAGTTTTTAACTTATCGTAAATTTTTAAAATATTTAGGGTGCTCCTTTAATAAAAAAGTTTGTTTGTTAAGAAAGCTTTAATTTTTATCTAATTTTGATTTTTGTTTAATTAGGAAAATTTTAAGTTTTAAATTTAGTTTTTAACTTATCGTAAATTTTTAAAATACTTAGGGTGCTCCTTAAACAAAACAGTTTGCTTGTTAAGAAAGCTTTAAAATTTATCTAATTTTGATTTTAGTTAAATTTAGAAAATTTTGAATTTAAAGTTTTTTTTTTTTAACTTATCGTAAATTTTTGAAATACTTAGGGTGCTCCTTAAACAAAAAAGTTTATATGTTAAGAAAGCCTTAATATTTCTCTAATTTTGATTTTTATTAAATTTGGAAAATTTAGAGTTTAAAGTTTTATTTTCAACTTATCGTAAATTTTTGAAACACTTAGGGTGCTCCTTTAATAAAAAAGTTTGTTTGTTAAGAAAGCTTTAATATTTATCTAATTTTGATTTTTATTAAATTTGGAAATTTTTAAGTTTTAAATTTGAAACACTTAGGGTGCTCCCTAAACAATAATGTGTATGCCATAAGAAAACTTTAATATTTCTCTAATTTTGATTTTTGTCAAATTTGAAAAATTTTAAGTTTAAAATTTTGTTTTTAGCTTATCGTAAATTTTTGAAATACTTAGGGTGCTCCTTTAACAAAAAAGTTTGTTTGTTCCGAAAGCTTTAATATTTCTCTAATTTTGATTTTTGTTAAATTTTGAAAATTTTAAGTTTTACTATTTATTGTAAATTTTTTGAAATATTTAAGTTAAGAAATTTACACTTTTAATGTTTGTCATTGTTAAAACGCCTTAACGTTAACATTGCATTTTCTTGTTCTCTTTACAACCAGGAAAATATTTTTATTTACAAATTGCTTCCTAATGTTCGTTTGATTTTTTTCTTTTGTGAAAATTTCCTTCTATAAAATATTATGTATTTAATAAAGTTTATGTTTATTATTGTATTTTTGTCTGAACTGTCGTCAGACTGGCGTCCCTCATTTATACGAAAAACGAAAAATAAAACATAAAACAACAAAATATATGTTTATCCATTTAACTGTGTGAGTAAAAGTGTCTGTGTGTGTATGTATGTATGTATGTGTTATTGTAATGAAATGAGTGATGTCTGCTCAATTCATTTAATGTTTTGTTTTTCCTTGTGAGAGTGGGTGGCTTTGGCTGGTTTGCTATGTTTACATTTGTTTAAGTGAAACCTAAAAGTATGCTTTAATTTTCATGTAGTTGTTATCGTTGCTAGAAATTGCTGATTGCATACTAAAGGCTTTTTTGTTTGTTTTTGCTCTTTAAGGGAGAGTTGTTTGTTTGTTTTTCTTCACAGTAATGCAGAAAGAATTACAAGAAGCATGAGTGTTTTGGTGAGAGGGGGAGGTGAGAGAGCGAGCAAGAGTTTAAAGTTATAAAGAGAGTAAATAATAAGTTGTCTAAGTAAATTTTTTTGTGAAATATTGAAATAATAGGCCGATTTGTTGTTTGTAGAAGAAAATTATAAATTTTTACAGTGAAAGAAAATTTTGTTAAAGGAAATTTCAGAAATAATAAAGTAATTAGTGGATATAATAAGAAAATCAATAAATAAAGAGAATTGAGAACATTGAAAATACGACAAAGAAGTTCATATAATAAAGAAAAGAGTTTAAAAATATAAAGCATACCTTGGGTCTTTAAAAAGTAGTGGTGAAGCATATAGTTTTACAATAAGGAGCATACTTTAGGGGTTTTTGATTAAAATATTGGTTTATGTAACAAAAAGTATTGCCTACTTTTGGGAGCTTAATAATCAAAAACTATTGCCTACTTTTAGGATTTGAGCATTTTTTTTCAGATTTAAATCAATAAATAACTAAAATTGAGAATAAACTGGTTTAAAAGAAGAAAAAAGTTTAAAAATATGTTGCATATCTTGGGGCTTCAAAATAAGTGCTTGTCTTAGATTACAAAATATATTGCCTACTTTTATGAAAATGAAGAAAAGAACCAACAATTAATAGATAATTAAGATACAGGTCAAGGAAAAAAGGTTTTAAAATCTGTTGCATACTTTGGGGTTCTAAATTGTTTTAGAGTACCAAAAAGTATTGCCTACTTTTAGGAGTTTAATTAATCAAAAACTACTGCCTATTTTTAGGAGTTAAGTTAATTTAATCGAAAAGACTTCCAAATGAGATTGTTTTAGAGTATCATTGCCTACTTTTAGGAGTTTAAGAAATAAAAATTGTTTGCCTATATAAATTGTAATAAAATAATAGAAATTTAATCAAATCAAAATAATTACAATTGAGAACAAAAAGAAAGGGACAAGTTTTATAGCATACTTTTAGGCGGTAAAACAATTTATAAGTATTTTCAGAAGAAAATTTGTAAACTCCATCAATTTAAAATAATTAAAATTGAAAACAAACAGTTTCAAAAGAAGTTACAAATTCTATTGCATACTTTTAGGAGGTAATACAATTTATATGTAATTTTGAGAAGAAAAGCAGTAAATAAATGAAATTAGGAACTACATACATTGAGGTTTCAGAAAATATATTACAAAAATGTACTGCCTACCTTTAGGTATTTAAATAACAACAAAATTATTGCCTATTTTTAGGAGTTAAGCTAATTTGTATGCATTCTTAAGTAGAAAACTAAAAAGACATCACTAAAATGAGTTGCATACTTTTAGGTGCTTAAATCTCATCAAACTATTGCCTATTTTTAGGAGTAACGACAATTTTCAAGTAATTTTACGATATTAAAAGATTTTCTCTGTGTTTTTCTTTGAATTAAGAAAAACCAACTGCATCATTTGCAGCTTAATCTTCTTTTGCATTCCTTCCTTCCTCCACCAGAGTTTTTTTTATATGAAATAAATTTTAATCCTGTGGTAAACATAACTGTACTACCTTTAAACAGCAGCAAACCGAGAAAACTGATGAAGTACTAACACAAATCACTTTTAACTTTCTCATATAAATGTATTACTAAAAACACGCGTCTGTCACACAGCAGAGAATGAAAGTTTATTTTACACTTTGCTCACACTCTTTTTAAAAATTGCTAAAAAAAATCTAGATTTTTAATATTTTTCCAAAAAAAAAGAAACCAAAATAAAAAACTTTCTATTGAAGTGTCGTGATGTCTCAAGAGTTGTTGGAAACAACACAACAACAACGTTGACGACAACATTATTATGATGATATAGATTATACAAAAATGCAGCAAGGGTGGTTGCCAGCATGCAACATCCATCGAATTGGAGTCCTTCTTGTGGTTGCTGTTGTATACCTTGGCTCAACGTCAAGGTTGTGTTGCGTATGTGTGTGTTTGTAAGAGTGACAAACGTAAAATAATAAATAAAAATGAGAAAAATAATAGAAAAAAACTGCTAGATTTTATTTATTTGTTTTACAACTGCGCAGTTTCTTTGGAAATAAATATAATGATATCATTTGAAATGTAGAGATTAGATGCTATTGCTTGGCCTTAAGG